TGGGGGTACTGACGCCGTCACACAACACCATGTTGTACCCTGTCAACAGAGGAACGAGAAAGAAACACTTACCTGGGTAGTTGAAGAAGTCGAAACATTTCCAGCCAATGATCCGTGCTCAACACTTCACCTCGACAAAATTTGAGGCAACCACTGAATTCCTATAACGCAGTACTCTCAACAAGGAACAGAAAGATAAAAAGTATTAGGTTCCTAGAGATACATTCCACGCTCGTCGCAGAGGCGGGACCGGGCGTACCAATGAACCGCTCTATTATTGTCCGTCTCTTCATCATACTGTAAATATAAAACGGCTCATTGGTAAGCCTCTCTTCACCACAGCGTAAAATACTGGGCGAACGAACGAGGAAAGCACAATGGTGGTCCAGCTCCGCCTATACTATCGATGTGGGCAGTGCCTGTGAAGCAGCTTAATGCGAATCATAAAACCTTACTCTAAAGTTGTCGATCTCCTTCAATAGTCGTACACCCATGTGGGTTTGCTGACCTGCTTTCAATTTTTCATCCATTTTTGCAGTAACTCGTCGAACAGGTACGTTTTACTCCTGGAACAAAAAGAAATTACTCACAGGTTCTCCCACTTGGCTCAATTACGGCCCAATACAAAACTGAGAGACAGCACCAGAACGGCCAGGTGGATTCAACGGAAGTTTTTGTGACAGAGCACGTACTGCCGCCTGGGGAAAATGTTCGGGTTATACCTCACCGTCCCTCTCCGAATGTCCACCTTTGGTGCTCCCCCTCCCCCCATCTCGCGATGGGAGTTTCCCAACGCTGTGGGTAACGCGCGCGAGACAGGAAGAACCAACTTCAAAGAGATGTCTCAAGCAAATGCGACCCTTCCCCTCCCCCCCCATCCCCCTTCCACCGACTGAACACGACCTCCGTTGCTGGGATCTCCAACGTACGACTGCCCCGGAAGCTTCCCGAAGCGCGCTCCCATCCGTCATGTCCGATGAAGGCAAAGAAAGGGGGGGGAGGGGTAGAGCGTCCACAGAAAGAAGCCCCTTCTCTGCTAATTCTGTTCCGTGACCAAGTATGCCACTGCAGGCCGAAGGGGGACGCAACTACGAAGCCAGATGCTTGTGATATGATAGCTTAATCTTCCGCATGTATCCGTCCGCGACACACACACACTATATCCACGCCATACAGCCAGCCATGTGGCTGCTATCAGGCGCACGGTTGGCCGCCTAGCGTGTAGCGTGGCTGAGGCGTCCGTATCGCGTAAGGATGGCGAGCGAAGGAGAAATAAAAAACATGTAATTATTTCGTGTTACCCGTAGTGCGAACGAAACAAGCCCTTTTCAGAAAAGCATCAGGGAGATACAAATCTCTCCTAATGCCGAATGTTTCGGTGATAGCTCAGCTAACTTTTGATGTGCGGTAACGCCTTATGCCTTCTTATAAAGTATTGATCGCAGCAAGAAGTTACCTGAACACAATCCACTCCTCATCAGCTAGCGTTTGTAGCTCAGTATTGAATTCTTCGTAGATCACCCAATTATTCTAGAAAAAAACGCGATTGTGAGGGAAGTAAACATGGTGTCTAACAGAATACACAATATGATGGTTGCTGGATCAGTCACTTTTTTTATAGAGAGTAAAGGTGAAACGTAGTAAGAGAGGGCAAATCGGGAACTGTGCCAGTGATCGAGGAATTGATCGGGTGACCCGAACGATTGACTCATCTGCAGTTGCCGATCCTTGTGATGGGTGGGCATTTTCAGATATTGACTGATTTC